GCAAATCGCCATAACTATAATAATAAGTTAATATGTATTTTGCCATGACACGTTTTCACTTAATAGCATTGTGAGCGTTAAATGGCATCAACATGGGTAGGGAATAAATGTCTTCCACTGTACACTTTGTCCCTGACAATGAACGCAGCTCACGTTTCCCGATCACCTACTAAACATTCAAATTAAATTACAAATACCTAATATACACTTACGTACAAATCCGCGTCTTCACGACATTACGCAAAATGTAACTAAAAAAGATTTAATTTACACATTACAGATTTTTTTTATTAACGAGAATATGAAAATGTGCATGTCACATAGATCAGTCTTGTCCAACCGTCTATAAAAGCATAATTTAAATAATTCTTGATAACCGCATATGTAACTTCTAACTAATACTCGTATTATAAATGCGAATGTTTAGATGCACGGATGGATGTTTGTTTGAAGGTATATCTCGAAAACGGCTGCATGGATCTCGCTGAAATTTAGCACAGATGTATAAAATAGCCTAAAAGAACACATAGGCTACTAATTAAATTGTTTTTTTAATTCTGCACGGACGGATTCGTGGGTGACAGCTAGTTCTAAAATAATTAAGTACAAAGTCCATACAACGTTACTTGAACCGTCAAAACATCCCGGAAGATATTAAATAATCTCATTTAGTTTTATTATTCTCATATGAAAAGATTTAAAGGAGGAAACAGTTTGCTTTTCCATCTCATTTCGTATTTCCAACATAAGCCTTCACGGTTATCCGCGGCAGGCCGTATCAAATGCGACATTATGCAACCTTGAAGCACATATTCGTTGCGGTAGTCACATGGGATGAAACTCTACGTATTTATTTTTAAATAATTATTAATTTAACAAAGATTCCAATCAGTACTCTCATACTGTCTTCTTTTCTACCTCTTTTTAGGGTTCCGTACCTCGAAAAGAAAATAACCCTTAAAAATCACTTTGTTGTCCGTCTGTGTATCTGTCTGTCAAAACCCTTTTTCTCAGGAACGCTGGCTTTTTTTTTATTGCTATTCGCCAAAAAAAGCACCAATGCAAAGATGGAATAACCGATGAAATGATGGACGATTAAATTATTTGCATGACCGTCGACTGCACGATGTAATGAGAGGTCAAGACAGGAATGATAAAGCAATTTAGGGTCCAGAGATATATTTTTAAAAAAGAAAAACATGCTAATAGCATTCACAATGTCTGAATTTATAAGAACGTTAGAGTTTATTTTATTCCGCTACCACTCTTGTGATATGGAACGACTCAATAGCTAATCTGTCTTAGAACAATATCAGTAGACATTGCATGCACGCGGCATACAAATAACATCGTTTGTCTCCGGTACTATTGTTATACTAACTACTAACATTCCATACGGGGATGTACATCATTTCTTATTGTTCAGTTAAAATATCATAGGGATTCTACTTTATTAGCTGACTTCAAAAAGGAGGAGGATATCAATTCGTCTGTATGTTTTATTTCTATGTGTATTACCGCTTAACTCCGCCTCTGGTGTTTCGATTTTGATTTTTTTTATATATTAAGATATACTTCGATGTAAGAAATTACCCTTAAATTGTTTTAACTACAAAAAATTACTTAAAGGATCGCTACTTGACACTATTTATTTACCCTTAAACAAATTACATTTTGTTTGGAATAATTCTCCACAGTCTAATGTTGGACATGCTATGTATTTATATAATTAACCTAAAATAACTTTTCCTCCAAATTCTTTACAAGATGACAGTTTAGATGTCGACATATAACTTGAATGGAAATAAATATTTACTACATGCAAAAAAAAAAACTAGAATGGTTAGTTTATATTAAGATATTATTGTTGTTTTGGCCTTCTTTGTTTTCGTAGAATTTTTATTATTCCAAGTAATTTGATACGAGGATTGGCAAAAATTACGTTTGTAACGTCTGTGACATTGTGCCCTCCATATATTTTTCTTAGAAGACATGTGTTTCAAAATAAAAGCATGAAATATAACCACGGGAAATCAACAATAACAAAAACAGGTATACCTTAATGTCTTTAAAAATAAGGTTGAAATTTCCTTATTCATATGTAAATGATATTGTGGTTTATTCATTTCTTTCGCCGATCTCAGTTAGCGATTAGTCTTGGCACGAAGCACTGGCTACGTAGTAAGAAGCTGGTCTAAGTCAGACGTAAAGCCAAGAAATACGAAATGCTAGCGCCTCAAGGAAATTGATAAACAATATTGAACCTGCCAAACCTAAACAAATCATTGAAGTTAATGATCTTTATTCTTAGTAAAATTTTGGCTCAACTTGAAAGCAGATGTTCTAAGGTCAACGAACTTTTCTTTAAAGTAGTTAATAAACAAAAAAAAATAGTTAATTTATTTATTTCTGTTTAGTTCTGAACCATCTCTCAGCATAAATTTAGTTGGAATATTTGAGAAGAATCGTACAAAAATTAAAAAGAACAGAATCTACCATACGATTTTATTCTTTAAAAAAAAGGATGCATATAAATTGAATGCCTTAGCATCAATTGCAGTACCTACAACGCAATTGAATGGTTTGTGCGGGCGCGTGGGAGATTCCACTCCGCCCGGACCTTCCTCTGGCTATTTCGGGACCAGACGAGTTAACCGACAATTTCGCTGATTGACCAGAATTATGGTAGGAAGTGTCTGAACGAAAATAGTAATTGAACTAAATGAATGATTGGCATTTTCAAGTACATTTGGCAGACGAAGTAACCTGTATTTAATTGTTAGTCTTCGAGATATAATAGAGATCGCTAATGGACTGCAAAATCTTAACATTATAAATACGAATGTTTGTGTGGATGGATGGAAATTAGAAGTTATCTTCAGAACGGCTCAACGAATATAGCTGAAATTTGGCATATATGAAGAACATAGCCTGAAGGCACACATATGCCGCTAATTAAGTTTTTTTTTTAATTCTGCGCAGTCGGTGCCACGTATGACAGCTAGTATGTCTATAAGATCAGGATATAATTCTAAGAGCTAAGCAAACCTAATTCACTGATCAGTCTGACTAAGTCTAGAAATGCATCTGTTACAAGCACACCTACTATTAATATAATAATATATATTTTTCTAACGTAATATACTTCACATCTCGGGGAAAGGGAATACTTTCACACATCAGATCGATTGTTTTCCTTTCACCTTAATATTTATTATATCTAATATCAACTAACGCCCTCTCTCTTACCAAAGTAGCACTATCGTGTTTGCTCTTATAGTTATGTAAGCATAATTATGCATTGTTCAAATCTCTTTACTAGTAGAGGTAATAATTTTAAGATATTATGATACATTTCTTTTAATCTATATTAATATATTCAAGGGTGTTATGAAGCAAAGAAGGCTCGGTTTCATAGACATTAGTGAATATGAAATTATAGTTAAGAAATTCCAGCGTCACATTTCACGCGTTCCTGAGAAACAGGGTCTTGACAGGCAGACAGATGGACAACAAAGTAATCCTATAAAAGTTCAGTTTTTTTCCACTCGAGGTACGTAACCCTAAAAATTGATAGTTTAAGAATACAATAACGCACTGTCTAATTAAGTACATTACTCTTTCATTCGACTAATGAAAACATTGCCTAGTTATAGTCGTGTAAAAAAGAGAACCACAATAGTATATAATAACGAACGATGAACCTGTCTTTTACCTGTCTAACATAGTACATAACTTTTATAAATGGTTATGTAAAACAAACACGTTACTTTAAATTCAATCTACTCGCTGCATATTACGCTGCACGGTCAAAACGTTATTGTATTAATGACGTCCGTGTTCTGATAAAAAAAAAGTCATAATAAAACTTGCGCCTCACTACAAGCTATAAAGAAAATATAATTAACAATTATAGCTAAGATATAAGATTGCTAAACCATAGACAGTAAAAACTTATTAATGCTCAGTTGAACCATTTATTATATTATGAACAAAAAAAGAACCAAAATCATATATTTTAATTATAAGTGCTCATTATTTTTTTTACTTCAATTAAACAAAAAGCTACCTCTGTGGATGACTTATGGAAAACAATTACAAAAATCAAATATCCATTATCGCTTCGCTAAGCTGAAATTACGCAGTGTAGTTCTGCCTTTACGTTGTTGGGTCTTTATTACTATTTTTATTGCGTCGTGGACGAGTTCAGAATGCAGATTTGTAAGTTAAGTCGTACTTAGAATAAGACGTATTACGGTAATGTGGACTCGTGTTTTACCAAACGATCTCCTTATAAAATCATTTTGATAGTAAACATCTACGCAAATAAGTTACGACTTGTAAGTTGTAAATAGAACTTGCAGTGTATACTAAGTTGAAATTAAATGCAATATTTTTTGTAACGTATATAATACTTTAGTTAGAGGATTAACTTTATCTTGCATATCTAAAATATTTAAGTTGCACAATAAATAAACATAGACAAATAAACTTCCAATCGAAAGTTCTGGAAGTTAAGCTCAATTGATTGTTTATTGTTTTACCTTTACTTCTACGATACTCATACAAAACATAGCACATACACAAGACAATCAAATATTTACCAAACTATAAATGAGACAAAAAGCTATATAAATGTGTAATACAAAGCGCCCACGTCGTAAACATATTTATATATGTTGCTGCGATATAATATCTTTTTAGATAATGGGTCATAATTTAAACAAAACAACCCTTTAATCATATCAATAAATACAAACTGATGGATTTGTTACTCTCTGTTAAATATATTAATTAAAACACAATCGACCAGAGTATTCCTTTATACCAATAAATTTGTAAGAATAATCTGCATCTGTTATTGATTTATAATGAATAGCAGATTAGGAATAATTAAATATATATGGTAATGCCCCCATAATGAATGTCATGCGTTTTGTCAGACATTTACAAGTGCAATGTTATTGTCTATGCCTTGTCAGCTGTCATGCAGATCTTACCGCGGGGAGGCGGAGGGCGCGAAACATTGGGAGCCGCCTCGCCCTCGAGCGCGGCGTTAGCATTGCCACTCTCTACATCTGGAATCACAGTTGCCCATTATTATATTTAATGCGCAAAATTAGTTGAACTAAAGATAAAGAAAATAAATATAAGAAATAATTACAGATTTAAAAAAAATTAACAAGCGCCCTCTATCGTTTTATACACTACATTTGAACATCTCTCAATTCGGAACTAACGAAATCTAAAGTTTGCTTACTGTAATAAAAAAATAGAAGAGTTTTGGGTTTTATTACCACGTATAAAAATCGAGACAAATAAGTTGATATAATATAATATGTGCTTATATAATGTTAATTAGCAATTGTTATATAATAAATAGTAAAACCGCAGAAAATAACATCTTTACAAGAATAAACCAATCATTTCCTTTATTTATAAATATAATAATAACTCCTAACAATTGTAACAATTTAAATTACTTCCTTATAAAATCAACATGTTTATAACAGAATGTACAAGAAACAAATGAAAGACGATTTAGTATTACACATTGGTCAAAACAACAGAAGCGTTATCGAATTAAATCTTAGCCGTTTATAAAACGAGGTGTTTTTGTTCTTTTAGTTTAAACGTCTAAACTTGTATAATACAAAACTCACACTTGATATTTAACTTAACAGGAAATGCTTTTCATCTTATTGAGTACATACCCTAGCTGTAACAAATTGTAAATACCGAAACTAGTAGACGCATTTTACTACTTCCAGAATGTACTACAACTTCAAAGGAATAAGAAACACCTCAAAGAGATCCCAATGTCTTACACAGGAAGACATTAAATGTGTTGTAATTTTGTTAGTACTAGGGAAATTTTTAGCTAATATAAATATCAGTGTATGTAGGACAAAAACAACCAAAATATTTTATGCCACTCCGACTAAGACTAAGAAAAAGATTAACTAACTTTTTTCTGTCGTTAAGAAAAATTAGCCGAAACAAAGATGTAATTAATTCGAAAATCACTGCCAAAATCTTGATCTCAAACTGAAACGAAAATTAAATGATTTTAAATAGAAAAAAAAATGCATCTGAGATTACTCTAACAAAAACTTGGAAATTGAAACAAAGTTTGAAAACAACGATTAAACAGGGCAATAATTATTTTAATCTACGGGGATATCCAGTGTGTCATAACAACGTATGATTACATAAGTACCAACAAGCTAATGGTGGCCAACTACAATGGATTTCTCAGAAACAATCGACGAAATAATATTCTCTTAGATGCATAAAAACCATAGATTATAAAAAAATAGCGTCTATCAAACATCATCGTCATCAAATAACTCAATGAGAATGTTCAAATGCAAGTCAATAGAATTAAAACAAACAAAACTTAATAAAACAACCCTCAGAGGTTTATTTTTTTATTTCAATTCGAGATTTCAGTGAAGACTTATATTTAGACAAAATCAATTTCAATAAGAGGTTACTTCGTAAATTTTTTTAATAAAAAAAGCGATTACTAAGTATTTAACATTAAAAATTGTATTATATTTTAAGTATGTATAAGAATTAAGAACATCTGCTCTAAAGATTTATTTCTTGTCAATATAAACGAGATGCATATTTAAAAACATGGCAATTTTATTAATATAAATAAAGCAAAGTGGATATTAAAAACACATACCTAAAATCAGTAAGCGTATTTCTCAATTGTACGAGTGCTTGTGCCAATTGTTTTTAATTTATAATGTTTTTTAAATAACTGAAATACCCTTTAGATTATTGATTGATAAAGACGTGTTTTAAATAACAATTTCCTTCTTAAACAATTATATTATATACATATAAACTATTCTTATGATATTTTCGTATTTGTGTCTTGTCTTTGACCATCTCTTTGGTTTTTGATGTTTATCGTTAACAAAATAGGTAAGGTTATATTTGAATAACAATAGATTAGTGCATTTTTTCTGTTCTAACAATGTATTCAATCCATTTATGAGTCAAACGTTTACATTTTAATTTACGTAAACATCTAATTGAGCATGCATTGTTGGATAAACCGGGATTCGTTAGGAATACTAATTTAGATAATGTTTGTTTATTTATGGACCTATACATTATTAAAGAATTACGTCTAAGTAGTACGTCTGTTTGCTTATTTTGTGACTGCGCATATTTGTTGCATGCTTACTTTGAAAATAATGTCCCGTCAGGTAAAAATGGAATATAAAATATGCCGAATAAATAATCACATGCCACATCCCCCGTCATGCTGTGATGTTGACTATTGAACGTACCACTATTCGGTTCGTAAGGCGTAATGACATTGTCATCGACGCGAGGTAGAACGGCAATACCCGTTGTAGGTCCATCCTCGTTATTGTAAAACGTTCCGTACGTTATATTTGGTGGAACTGTGAATTAAGTATTTTTTAATAACTTTAAAAAAATATGACAAAAAATATCGAGAAATATTTTTTCATTTCTCAGGAACATTTTGTGAAATATATTAAAATTGTACTGAACAATTTATCAAAGATATTAGGGATCTTTTATAACGACGACTAACGACTTTAATAGTTTCATTTGGAGTCTACTTGAATATAATTAAACATCAAATCTAGAACAATCTGTAAGCGATTTATAACTGTTTCTATAATCTAGACAACTACGTTAATACGAATTATTATCTTCGATGACTCAGAACAGCGAACAGATACATAAAGTCAAGTCAAATTTAAGGAGAAATTAGTTAAATACATTAGTTACAAGATACCATGTACAGATAAATAAATTGATTCAATTTAACAACGTGGTAGAGCATTAGCATGCAAGGCGCGACGGGGCAATAAGTGGTGCCTGATAACGCACTGCCAATCCACTGCCTTGGAAGACAGTTACAAATCGTTTGTTTACCAACGTACTACCAATTGAAAACACATTGTTTACTCGACAGTTTGATATAGATTCCTACATCAATCACTGTATGGTGTACATTCTAATACAAATTGTATAATCAAATTAAAACATTTAAAATATAGCGTAAACTCCTTTTAACGTCACTCGATGTAACGTCGTGCACATTCTTTTAACCTCGAAAATTCGGCATTATAAACTATATTATAAACAGGTTCTATATCTTTACAACGTTGATAGATAAAGAATATCTTTAACAATAAAATTACTAGTATATTAAATTTAAAGATGACATGTTTGCTAATATTTTATTATCCATACTTGTGGTATTTTGCAATTTAAAAAAAAAATATTTTAGGTGACAAATTCGATTTGTTATCAGATAAAAGTGTATACTAATACCAGAAACGTGTTCGATTATAAATATTATATATCAATCTTTAGTTGTAAAAAAATGTTAATCGATCCGATAAATGTGATACAAATAGAGCGTGTCAAGATTATATGTTAATTACATAGTAGTTATTTCGCACATTATGTGTTAAATAGTGTGTAACGCGTTGTTGCGTGACTTCCAATTTTAAATGTCGTAGTCAAACTGTTATGACTATAGTTGTCCCTGTCTTTTTAAAGAGAAGAACAGAGATAAAAATATCGCTATTAAACCGGTGTTATGATAATGGATACTCAGTAACGCTAACTCTAATATTTGTAACAGTCAATCAACCGCACTATCTTAACTTAAGCAAATTTAAACAATTTATCTTAATTCCACTGTCACTATAGAAAAATAAACTTTTACATACACGTATATAATTAATATTTGAGCTAACTTTTTACGTGAATTTATCTTAAATTCAATTTTGTAAATAATTATCATCACTTTTTTGCCAGTTATTTAGTTTTTTTTAAATTATAATAATATTTTCATAATCATAATATTTTTTGAGACAGCAAAGACCTGATCTGTTTCCATTGTCATGTAACGATAACATAGTTTTTATAAAGACCAATGTTGACGTAACGTCAATTCTTAAGATGATATACTCGAGTTTCATTTTGATTCAAGGATAGTTTGTATAAATATATTCGCCATCGATTGTTCTCCTATCAACACTATTTTTGTTAAGAATATTATGTGTACATTATTATGACAATGAGCATTTAAAAAAACAATCTTGTTCAATCAATATCCTAATCCGTAGAAAATTTTCTAAAAACACTTTGTAATGTAAAGTATAGTAACAATTTTTTTACAATAAAACCTCGATTTGCTTCGTACGTGTAATAATTAAATATCTACCGTTCGTAATTAGGTAACAACGCAGGACAAATTTATGTATCAAACATATTTTGTGGTATGGGAATTTTATTTATTCAATCATCATTATCAAACATTAATTTGGCAAACGAGACTTATTTTTTTAAACACAATCGTTCAATTTATCGACGCAAAGAATGGATGAAATTAGATTTTCCCGAAATAAATACACATTTTAAATGCAGACTACATTCAAATTGCACGTCAGCGTTGTAAAGTGTTTTATTTTTCAAACGTTATTTTGTACCACATGCTAAAAAGAATATATTTATAACCAGTAACATTACTAATATTAATACGATTCGAAGCATCGTTCCTTGTGCGTACCACAAAGGATTGGAACAAGTTGCCAGCCTCTGTTTTTCCGTCCAAATATGATGGGACCTTCAAAAGTAGAGTGAATAGGCACTTACTAAGCTAGCGCGTACCATCTTTCGACCAAATCTCCACTAACACCAGGTGGGATCGTGGTCAAGCGCTGGCTTATCAAACGTAAACGTAAACTTAAAAAAAATATTAAAAATGTTAATGTTTGGATGTTTGTTTAAAGTTATCTCCAAAGCGGCTGCATACATCTCAAAGAATTTTAGCATAGCCTGGAATAATACAAAGGCTACTAACCATCTTTTAAATTTCGCGCGGCCGGAGCTGCACGACAGCTAGTTAATTTACAAAAAAAATAGTTGCTTAATCTATGACACTTTAAATGCGATTTTAATTAAGAAACCATTTTTTATATACTCTTTGTAAGAAACATCTTAAATGGCGTACTATTATTTCGGGTAAATTCAAAACCTATCTGACTAACAGTCAAATTATTTGCTTCGTTTTAGCATCATTAAGATTGTTTTTATTCTTTGAACATTATTAAACTTAAGATAGCACGACGATGTATTTTATGTGTAGTGATAAGAAAACATAAAATATGTTTCATTGTTCTTTTATATCTTGTCTTACTTATATTTTGTAAACAACATAATCAATATTAACCCCATTTTTATATTGCCAGTATCTTTTCTTTGTTGTTTATTTTTATAATTATTATATGTTTAAATTACGGAAATTTTAATAATTAATCGTCCCAAAAGAGGTGTATTTTAGGAGGAAATTAAATGAAAGTTTTTAATGTCACGTCAAATAGAAGCAAAAAGATTTTGTAACCGTAAACATAGCAACATTTTTTAGCAAAAGCCCTATATAATTTAGAATATTTATAGAACTAATGATATCTACTTTAACATTACGATAACATCATAAATATATATATTTTATTTTTCGGCAATTTACGTTTAAATGAGAAGTAATTTGATAAGATACCAATCGTCATTATGTTATTGACTTTACTAAGTATGTATTAAGTAGCGATAGAGTCGGTAAAGTCAATACCTTTAAGCTTACTAATATTATACGAGTAAATTGAAATGTTTAGATGGATGGATGTTTGTTTGAAAGTATCTCCAGAACGGCTGATTTTACTGATGATACTTATAGAACATAGTCTGGAAGAACACATAAGCTACTTATTTTGTTTGTTTTTAAATCCGCGCGGACAGAGTCGCGGGCGATTACTAGTGTTGAACAAATAATTCGCTAATAATTAATCATAATAAATATTAATAGATTGGTACTTTTGCCGTTGTTGTCTGAGCACAAAACCTCTGTATAATATGTTTTACAGACATAATATGTTTCAAACGGCGATCTCCGGCTTAGAAACCCACGGTTAGTATCAATAGCGCCAATCGAACAACTAAGTATGACATAATCTAGATTTCTTACATAATTTTTGGTTTTCAGATCATGCGTTTTCGTACAGATCCCAATCAATAGCAATTCGGAGATTTTACATTCTGTTTTAGATTTGATAATAGCTATCACGCGTATTCATATTTCTTTGAAACTCCTAAGTAATCAATTCTCTATATAATTAGACTTTGAGGCAAAAAATTTAAAAACGTGGATTTAGGTAATGTTCGAAAGAGTTATTGGAATAATTTTATAAATATTAGGTACTTGTCTAATTTTTATGTAATTGTATTTTTGTACCCTGTAAATAAATCTTCATAAAAATTAAATTAAATACAAAAATAGAATAGTCGTAGTCTACCAATATATTTAAATTTCCCATTATACTAAAACAAAAATACTTGAAAACTATGTTTTCTTTCTTTTATTTTTAACTATTCCAATAAACATAAAAATAAAATAAAAATCATGCTTACTCTGTACATTTTTGGTGGCCATTGTTTACACAATCGAAAGACGAAATCGTTTGAACAGATTCAGCGGAACACGATCGAACGGAAGCTCGTAGGCGACTGCTACGTTGAAGCTACGGAACTCCCGCGCCGTTATTATTAGCCGAACTTATCAGTACACAATTATAGTATAGGCACGCGTGCGAACCGCGCAATGCTACAACTGAGAGTGACAACGATCCCGGACTGTTTTTATAAACTGGGGTTCACAAAGTGGTAAATTGTTGAACAAATAACGCTTCTTATTTGCCGAATCAGGCACATACGCTTAGTTCACTGACGGGAATAATCTCGGTGATGCTGTAATGAGGTTTTATTGAAAGATAGCAACGCTTGGGTGACGTTGATCGTGGTTAATGTGTTACGCTGCTGCGTACATCATGCTTCAAAAATATTTTGCAAATTAATAACGAAAGCTGGTACAATGTATGCGAGAAAACTTATGTTTTCAAGTCAATTATCATATAATTCAATTGTCACTTTTAGCTTTTCATTTATTATTGTTGTAATGATACTTTTTAACATGCTATAATTTTTTAAGATTTAAGACTTTATGTAATCATAGAAATAAGGATGTAAATTAATTAAACGTATCATTTACAATTTTTGAAAGCATCTTAAATTTGGTATAATAGCGTAGTCGCACCAATGGATATTCTAATTTCGAATTTTCGAAACTAGTCTTTAATTTAATAGCATTTTAGTCCATTGATAGTGACAAAAATAAGTAAACAATCTACAATCGATTATGACTTTTGGTCGTTTATATACTAAAGTTGTGATATTTTAAAAATAGAATAAATAACTGCCTGCCTAATATTTTTTTTAATATGACATATTTAAGTCAAGTTTCGGAATCCGCGCAACACTAAAGTTAAGTTTCCTGTTACATTGACGAAATATGTATTAATCCGATTGATAAGAATAAACATTAAAATTGATAAAGTAAGATAGCTAATGGATTACTTCTTCACAATACTTTCAAAAATATTATTAATATTAATAGTACGACAGATAAGATATTATTAATCACGGAGTACCTTTAATGATTGTAGAGTATGCGCACTTAAAATAGGAAATGAATATTATCTTTAAATATGAAACATGATGATATTATAACACCGACACTTAAATTAGGCGCCAACTTAATACAAGATGGTCGTCACCATATTATTATTTCCGAAACAAATGCAAAAGCATAAACTGCAGTTAACTAGAAATTAATTGTAATTTAAATTAGAATTGTGTTTAAAAATTTAATTAAAGACGAAATTACGAAGAATTGATAAAATAAATTGATATATAAAATAAAATAAATTGACGAAGAATTAATATCATAAAACAAAATAAACGTGAAAATAATAATAAAACTGAAGATAAATAGGCAGTTTGATTCGGTTATCAATATGATTATTTAAATCAGATATTAAAGAATGTAAGTTCCGATAACGATATATTTTCTATATATTTATAATATTAACTGATTCTGTAGATTTACGGTGACTTTTTCATCTATTTTAACTAATGTTACATACAATCAATGACTTACAACATCGATATCTCTTTCACAGCTTGACGGTAACATGTTCTCTCCCGACAGTCAGAGAAAACAAAGTCCGTGATTCCATCATTTAAATAAGATTAACAATTAAAAAAGTAGAAAAATATTTAACGCGGAATTCGAAGATAAAATATGTTCTTGAATGCATCGTTGTTAAATTAGCTTCATTAAAAGCATATTTCATCGAACAAAAAATCGTTTCCCAGAAATTCAATCCTTGTTTTGCACGACCAATAAAAACAAAAGTTTTTACTAACTTCGTTTCTGGGGGTTTCCCATCAAATACTTTAGAACACAATTTACTTATTCCAATTACAAATGACCCTTCGTACCGAAATAATATTATTACAGTATTTTATTATATCACGAAAGACTGCTTTTTAACTTTATGAAATATTATTAATGACTAGCTGTCGCCCGCGACTCCGTCCGCGCTTATTAAAAAAACTATTGGTCGCAGCGTAATGTTATATAACCTAAAGCCTTCCTCTATAAATGGACTATCCAACAAAAAGAGAATTTTTCAAATCGAACAAGTAGTTCCTGAGATTAGCGCGTTTAAACAAACAAACTCTTCCTCTTAATAATATTAGTATAGATTTCACATACATATTTCTTTATTTTAAATAAACATTCCAAGTAAATCAAAATAAAACTAGTTAATTTTATGTCCTGAATATTTTAATAAAGAAAAATAAAATCTTCACATAACCTAGTAATCAATAACTATAAGTACTAAGAAATCGGATTAAATACAAAATGATTGTTCCTTTGGTTTCGAATAAAACAACAAATGTTTTTGTGCAATAACAAAAACTATGGACTCGTCTGACAAATGTGAGAACGTAGACGAAAATAAAGGACGGAAGCTACAATTGTGTACGATTTAAAAAAAACGCATACAAAAAAGCGTATAAGATACAATGACCTTTCTAGTAACTTCTTGTTACGTCTTTTAAATATATTGAGAGGTCACCCATTTGAAATTCGAACGTAATTCTTTTTTTTATTATTATTAATAGGCTTATAGTTTTTTTCTTCACAATAACTTTAAATGTAATTTAATACTTTTTTCGTTTACGTGATTTCCTTAAAAAAAATAGTTTTCGCTTTACGTATTTTTAAATTTATAAACAGACACATTGCTGTTTAAAAATAGCTACGCGATAATTTTAATCTTGCATACGACACTTCATCTCATAATAATTTCCTCCTTCCATAAAGTGGGCGGTAAAATGTAATAAAAATGTCTTAATTTACAGTTCATCGTGTCAGTTTGTAAATTAAATTTTATCTAAAGTGTATGTAAACTTTGTACGGAGGTTAACAAAATTATGGTTGATGTTTTATAGGAGATTATACAATAAATATTAATAAAGGATTAGTGTAACGTAACGCTGTAAGCTATTATAAAATACATAATCTATTTAGAACTGTTAATCTTTTATACGTATAAGTTTTCTGACATATCCAATACGAATATACGAAGTCCCTTGTATTGTAAATTTATACATTAATAACATCGAGTAAAGATGGTTGTTCAAAAAAAATGTAATTCAATCTTACTGTTACTAATATAAAGGCAAATGTTTAGATGGATGGATGATTTACATATTTGTTACAAGGTATCTCAAAAACGGCAACCCTTATTATGGCAAGATTTATTTTTTGAAGAAAAGCCTAAAACAAAGTTAAAAACAAACTAAGTTAAAAATTATGTTATAGTAATCGTATACTTTTATAAAGTTGTATGTATGGTATACTATACAAAATGAACATAAGGGTTAACGAATTTCAATGAAACTTGTTATAGATATTGAACATAGGACAGCGCGTACGGAGTCGCGGGCGACAACTACTTCAATAGAATGCTTTTTCAGTTCCTTTCTTCAAATTTCGTTCGTTAAAGAACAACGCATCTGAACCTATTTCTTCAATTTTTTATGAGGATGATTCAGACTACTATTTCAAAACTATTTAATAATATGATTTAGATTATTTTCATGCGTGATTTTATAAAATGTTCTTTTATTATGACAGTTCATAGACACCAATGATAGTTTAGTTGTGCGTGAAAAGAAATACTTTAATAATAATATAATCTAATTTACTAATATATTTTGTGTAGGAGGCAATAGTAAGCGAAGATGCTGTCATATCCGAGGCATTAGCGCCCACGACTAGTTGTAGAGGCATTTTATTTACTATTAACTACATTGTTCAACAATCTCGGCTTCCTTACTCCTTGTTGTGAAATATAATTTCGTTTAATAGCATTTTAGTAGTTGCGCAAAGTTATAAAAATACACAGTCATCTCTCACGTAAATAATAAAAGAAAACTCTGACCAATAGTTTATTTTAATTGCTGAATAGAATAACATGCATTTTTAAACCAGCAATTTGAAATAAATTACTAATGTTGTGAGTATTTTGATGTTGTTAAATAGAGTGGACGATTAAAAGTAAAAGTAACGAATCTAACTAGCCGTGTAACCATTTAAATAGTTAAGTTTATTGTTATTAAAAATACAATTATATAAGAGATCTCTTTCACGAATGTTGCGCAATTTGCGTGCTCATGTTAACGCCTTGCTGAGCATTTGTCGTTTTACGTTATGTTATCTAGCACGGCTACAACGCACGGCTATCTCTATTAATAAAATTACAGTGTCTGTATATAAAAAAATCAAAATTCGTACACATGATGTATTTGCGCAGCTATTAACTAAGAACCACGTTTTTAAATCTTTGCCTGTCTATCCGCAAGGCCACATTTGTTCTGGGTAATCTCTGGAACGGCTGGACCGATTTTGACGAGACTTGGACGAGAATCATCAGTCTTTTTTTTCATTCTGAGTACGTAATAAATTCTTTTGTTTTTTTACATTTCTAGGGTACAAAGCAACGAGATCGAAGGTTGTATGTTTAGGAATGCTTAACCAAAGTAAGCCTTGTCCTACGACACAAAAGACACCAGTTTCCAAGTGTCTCCTGTTAGTAGATGTGATTGATTTTTATGACAATTAATTATGATTACTTTCAAATTAAGTAATAGATATCTTGACTTGATTGATAATATGAAATTAGTATTATAAATCTAAAAATTCTTCAACATTATGACGTTTCGCCGCGATGTCCTCTGATAGCGTTCGGTCAACACGGACGATACAAAGATGACTATAATTGCAGTCATAAATGTGAGGTAACCAACCTGCTCTGAATGGAAAATTTGAGGTTATAAAATGATATGGTTAAGTGCACTACGTAAATTAGAGAGTTTTGTAATAGAGGAATGATTGTTATGACACAGTTATCGAAAGTATGCGACTCTGAGTTTGATTATCATGAATTGTCATCTCTTCATTGCGAAATTTTTCTAAATATGATATATTGGTACCGCCACGATTGGTGGCTTAGGGGTGAAGCACTTGACTTGTAATCTCCTTGTCCTGGGTTTGAATCCCGCTATGTACTAATGTTTTTTTTTATTTTCGATTGACATATATTATAGTAAACATCGTGATGCAACCTGCACATATCTACGAAGAAATTCAAAGATATGTGTAAAGTCAACCAACCCGCACGGTCAGCGTGGTCAACTTACGCCTAGTCACCCCAAATTAGGGTAAGGTCCAAGCAGCTCAGTGGAAACGCAGAGTGAGCTGGTGATGACTTGCAAGATTAGTTAAAA